CCCCTCCCCACTTCCTCTCCCCTCCGCGCCGGCCCTACAGTCCCGGGAGTCAGGCGCGATCTCCCTGCGTTCCCCTCCCTCCCGACTCCTCCCTCACCCTCTCCCTTCTCTCTTCCCCTCCAGCCTCCGCTCCTTCCCGCTCACTCACCCTCTCCCTCTCCCGCTGCCCCCCTCTCTCTCCCCCACCTCTTTGTTTCAGCGGAGAACTGGCTCCTCGGGACAGTTCCCACACTGCAGTGCCTCTGGTGCGGAGACAGCGCCACCGCCACCGAGGTGAGCGGGGAGCCGGGACGCCGGGCGCGGCAGCCAGAGCTTTGGGGGGCGGGCAGGTGGGGACGCCGGCAGTCCGGTGCGGCGCCTCCCGGCCAGGGGCAGCGGGCACAGCAGTTGGAGTGCCTGATGCCCTGGTGGTCAGCAGGACCCGAGGGCAGAGGGGCAGCCAGTTGGCTGCCAGGGGCAAAGCTGCTCGGGAGCTGGCAGGCTCTTTCCCTGACCTGGTGCCTGGCTTCTGCCGGTGGCCTTGGGCTGAGGGGGACCCGCAGGGGGGCCTGATTGGGTGGGCGGGGGCTGGTCTGCCCGGAGTAGCCACTCCTGAAGGTTCGAGTGTATGCCCAGTCCTGGAGTCCAGGGCTCTGAACCCTGCCTCTGGCAGGGCTGTGGCTGTGAGGTTGCCCACAGGGCTGTGACCCTTGAAGTGTCTGTCCCTGCTGGGGTTTTGGTTGCTGGTCAGGGATGTGCTGGGCTGCTCCCACTGCCCAGGTGGGGGGTGTGGGCAGAGAAGGAGAGATCTGCCCCCTGCCACAGTCTGGCTGTTTTCACCCCATGCTCCTGACCACCAGACCCACAGAGGTACATGCGGGGAGGGGCACTTCTCCCTCTGCTAGGGGTCTCTGACCAACTCCCTCAAAATAGGAACCCCAGGATGGCTTCACCCACGGTAGCGAGCAGTAGGGATTCAGGCCAGAGCCCAGAGATGTTCCTGCGGTCAGCTTCCTGAACTGGACAGGGAGGAAAGTGGGGGGCAGGGGGAGGAAGAGAATAGGTGGAGACAGAGCCCTGGCTCTTTCGTGAGACTACAAGTGCAATTACTGGAGATGACCCAGGGCTACCAGGAGATCCAGAGACCCTGAAGCTGGGCAGGTGGGTGGGAGTGGATGGAGGGGGCAGAAGCCACTGCCGGAGCCCCGCCCCCTTCTCAGCTGGAGCTAGGGATGGAAAGGCAGAGCTACACGGGGACAGAGTGTGTTGCTCACACTTCTCCAGAGAGGCCAGCAGGGTGGCTCTGCTGGCTGCCAGAGGAGAGACAGGAAAGGCTGGGAGTATGCAGGGGCCAGGGGGTGGATCTTCGCAGTGGGATGCATCCTGGGGGTCCAGCCTCTGGCTATTTGACCAGGGCAGAGACAGGTCCCACAGCTGCCTGAACCCTCAAGGAGTCAGCAGTGGACAAGATTGTGGGGGGTAGTGACCCATAAGGCAGAGCTGCCAGTGGTATTTGTCCCCCTAGGACTGGTCAGATGGGGTACTTGTTTCCAGGAGCTAACTCTCCCTTGCCCTCTTCCCTAGCCAGAGCCTCCTCATCTGAGCAGGCAACAACCCCAGATGGACCAACATGTACAGAGAGGTGGAATCAGAACTATGGCCATCAAGTATCAAGGGCCCAGGTGGTCCTCCATAGCCCAACCCATCCAGCCTCTACAGTCTCAAGGGCAACCCAAGCCAGGGGAAGTAGGAGAACAAAGCCCCAGGACTGGTCCCAGTGATTACCCAGAGAGCAGTCATCCCTGTCTCAGGAAGAAAGGCCACTCTTCCTGGCCTGGACTCAGCTCACCACAGCTCTGTGACCCCACTCTCATGCAGTGGCCTGCCTAAGCCATTGGCTTTACCCTGAGTGGTCTGTCAGTATCCCCCCACCCCTACACACCCCCTGCTCTCCCCTAGCACACCCCAAATTCTCTCACTCAGCTAGGGACTCCTAGCCCGCAGTGAAGCCAGGTCTCCCCCACTGCAATCTGGGCCTCATCATGTCCCTCACACATGCTCCAGATCCAGAGGGATCAGACTGCCCTCTCCATTTTTTTTTCTGAGACACGAGGGGGCTCTCTCCCAGGCTGGGTCAGCTTACTCTAGCCTCAGCTGACCGCCCCACCCCCCGCCACCATACATTGGTTCTGTGACCTCTCAGGACACTGTGCACCCCAGAAGCCATTTAAAACTCAAATACCAGCCCCTGTGAGTGCCAGCCCAGTGCCAGAGGGCCTCAGTCAGTGAGCACCAAGGCCTTACTGAGAGGATGCACCTCTCCCTCACTTGTGGCACCTCCTCCACCTCCCTGCACATCCCCAGGCATCCCCCACCCCTGCAGTAAGGAAGGCCTCAGCATCTGTCATGAAACAGCCTCCCAGCATCGCTCCTTGCCAAAATCACCATGAGGCTTGCCACCACTGTCAATGTGAAGTCCAACCTTTCAGCCAGCCAGGCACACAACGCCCTTTGCCAATTGGCCTCTGCCAGCCTTTATGGCCTCCTTGCTTGACCAGATCTCCAGTAGGTAACCACACCAAACTGTGTCCTCACCCTAGGATGGAGCAGAGCATGACTCAGAGGCCCATTCAGGAACTGGCTGTGGGTTAAGCTGGACACACACGTGCCCACACGTGTCCCCCCACACACACCCATATGGATATGCATATGAATGCACACGCACACCTGTGTAGAAGCCCATCACCCAACTGCAGGTGGTTTTCTACCAAATTGTACCCACAGTGGAATGTGGAATCTGCACCAGGAAGGGACTGACGAATCTGTTTTATGGTTCCCAAGGGTAGTCATGTCACCATCTGCAAGCCCTGGAGAAGCAGCAGGGAAGCAAGAGTGGATCCCTGACTCTGGCTGAGCTCTCTCTGGGTCCCAGGGTCTCTGAGCCCCTGTGAGTGGGCAAGCAGGTCCTGACCAGGCTTTCCTTCTGGTTCTGTGGCAGACTTGCTGTGCAGCCCCAGACAAGCCACCTTCCCTCTCCTGTTTCTCCAGCTATAAAACAAAGGGATTTGGGCTAGCTGACACCTAAGGGCTGTCCAGGTGCACTGCCCAGCTGTTTTCAGTTCATGCCAAGTACAGGGAATGAAAGGGCCTATAAAGGTGGCAGCAGTGGGGGAGGGGGGCACCCTACATAGCAAGTGCCTCCAGCTGGGAATGGAAATGAGGTGGGCACAAGGGCAAGAGGAACCTGAGCCAGGACAGACAGAAGCAAAGAACCACAGGATGGGAGCAATTATGACCCATAACTGAAATTTATGGAGCAAATAGTTAAGTCCTATTGAACAGTCACCATACAGCGTTTATCTTGTATTTGCATCTAGATTGAGGCCAAGTAGATCTTTTCTCATCTTGGGGATACCAAATGAGCAAATCTAATGGGCCAGGCCCAATCCAGCCCCTAGCCTCCCAGCCCCCACAAACATAGGTGTAGGGCAAGGGCCAAAGCAGCACAGGAGAGACCTCCGGTGAGACCCCACCCACACCCAGACCCCTCAGCAGGCATGCAAGAGACCTAGTGTACAAAGCAGCACATCCCTATCCCCGGCCACCCACATCTGTGTGCTCACATGCCAACACACACACACACACACACACACACACACACACACACACACGCGCCATAGACAAGGCAGACAAGGCCCTGCCCTCCTATCCTGCTCTTGCCTGGAACTTGACACCCAGCACCAACAGTCATGTCCGCATAGGCAAGGATTGACACAGACAGGGCATATCTAGAGGTTACCAGAGGAGCAACAAGGCACAGGCATTGCCACGTGGGGGCAACATTCCCTAGACTATGACATCCCCCCCTCCCCCCCAGTCAGTGGGAACTCCATGCCAAGAAAGGAAACGGTGCCCTGCATCACAGAGGGGTGCAAATTCCCCTCTTCCCTAAGCCTCCCTGGCCTCCAGAGCCTGGCTCACATTGTTGACTTCACCTTGTCCCCAGGTCATGAACAGTCTGCAAGCTGGGCTGTCCAGAGCCCAAGTGGGTAAGGGAGGCTCTTCCCAGGGGGAGAGCATGCCAGCCTTGGCCCAGAGCTCCTCACACCCTCAGAGAGGAAGGGATAGCTGGGGTGGACGAGGGGGCCAGCAGGAGCAGCCCCAGGCCTCGCTGTTCTCTATGGCTTTTTATTCCTATGTGATTCTACTGCTCACTCATATAGGGATTGGAGCCGTGGCGCACGGCGGGGGCGGCCAGCGAGGGCTCGGATCCTGAGCAAGGGGGCCCAAAGAGAGGTAGCTGCTAGCCTAGCCAAGGGAACCTTTCCTCTGTTGCTCTCCCTACCCCCACCCCCACTGACCTCTTCCCTGGCCAACTGTAACAGGAGAATGGGCAGGTGGGCTGCTGGATCCCATCAGTACTCTGACCCACTATCTCAGCGCTGGAGACCACCACTGCAAGGCTGGCACTGGGAACTGGACTGTGTCCCAGAGGAGCAGCTAAAGGAACTGGGATGTTCCACCTGGAAAAATGGGCCTGACACAAGAAAACAAGGTCCAGAATCCTATGTGGCTGAGAGTAGCCCGTGGGCAAACAAAGGGCAGATCAACCAAAGAAGGTGTGGTCTGTGCCTAAGGGTTTTCCAAACACAGAAGGGAAGGACAGACTTAGTGAGTAGTAAGCATTCACCCAGCAAGGCACACAGCAAGCAGAAGTTGGAGATTGCAACAGGGAGGCCACAGGGGAGTCACAGTTGGATAGGTGGCCAGTTGCTTTCAGACCCCACACTCTGCAGTCCTTAGGCCTGTCCACCCTCTCTGCTTGTCCCCATTGAATGTGTCAGAAGCCAGGCTCAACCTTCCTAGGCTCTTAAGTGAAGCAAGTGCTGAGTATACCCTGCAAAGCGGGGTGTGGGGAACTCCTGTAGGGTCTTAGCGCTGGGGCTGCAGGCTGATCCCACTCCCCTTCCCAGCAGTTCTGGGTGAGTCTTCGCTCAGAGGGAAAACACATGGAGAACCCATAGTGTGGTTCTTTTTATTTGCAGTCCTTGCTTTACCCCATAGAAAGGACACTCAAGAGCTCAGCAGAGGGGCTGCCTGGGGGTGGGTGGGGAGAAGACTGGGAACAGCAAACTGGCTAAGGGGCTCATCCCAGTCCTCAGAGATACCTGCTATCTGTCCACAGCAGAAAGTAGGGAGAAGAGAGCCCCCATCTGCCAGTCCGGTTGGAGGAATGAACACAGAGCAGAAGCCATGGGTGTGAGGTATAAGGGCCAACCAGGAAGCCTGGGCCAAGGAAAGAAGGAACCCTAAGGCCTGGTGAGGCCTTGGGGACCAACCCTGGTCGGCCCCAGGATGCTGTCCTGTAGGCCTCCTCTGTACTCCTAAAACACAACCTACACCATCACCGTGGCCGCAGGAACAGGAGGTGGGCATCCATGACATTGGTGCCAGTCAGCCCTGTGTGCAGCAGGTGCACCCCACCACGAAAGCAACGGAAGAAGGTATGTGAGTCATTGTGAGATAGGAAGGTGGCCACGTCCAGGCCCTCAGCGGCAGCCTGGCTGGCCAGCTCAGGCATGACCCAGGCCCCAGCAGCCTCTGTGGGGCCATCCTGCCCATCGGTGCCACCACTTAAAAACAGCACATCTACAGGCCCCAGTGGCCGTCGTCCCAGCTCTACTCCAACACGCAGGGCCAGTTCCTGGTTCCGGCCACCCTTTCCTGAGCCCTGCAATTGCACTGTGGGCTCACCACCAGCCAGCAGGCAGACGGGGCCCCTGGCCCTCACCACAGCCTCCAGAGCCTCCTTCAGCTGCAGGTCTGGGAGCTGGAGCTCAGCTGCCAGCTCATGGAGTAGTTCAGCCTCCTCCGCAGAGGCTCCAGCCCCAGCCAGAGTGAGGCGGGTTCCAGCCACCTGGGCGAGCAACCCGTAGAACCGGGCTATACTTTCCACATCGCCCTGCATGGCTGCGCTCAGCACCACAGCCTGGTACCCCAGCGCCTCAGCCTGCCGCTGGGCCTCGGCCAGCGCCAGCGCGTTGGAGCCAATGATCACGTTGAGTACGTGACCACAGGTGTGTGGCCCATGAGGGTCAGAGTCAGACCGAGCCAGCACAGTCTTCACGGAACGTGGCAGGGCAGCACGAAGGCCGTAGCGATTGAGGATGTGCAGGCAATCTTGCACGTTGTGGACGCTAGCCACAGTGGGGCCGCTGGCGATCACCTCCACAGGGTCCCCCACCACGTCTGACAGAATCAGGCTCACCACCTGGGGTGGGGTCGCAGAAGCAAGGCTTAGTCCCTCCTGGCCCTCACCCTACAGCCACTGAGGATAAACCACCACACGCCCCCTACCATGTATTCACACACCCTCACACTGCCCAGTGCATTTTCTTACCCACTTCTAACCCCTCTCAAGGGGGTTTGTAGAACATGTGGCCACTTGGACCCCCCCCCCATTCCTCTCTGAGGCCCCTCTCAGCTAGCCCTGTGGACTCCCACACCAGGCCCCTGCCAATCTGTCTGCTGTTCTAGGCTTTCATCTCCCTGGTGCATGTGGGCTCCTCCAGCCCAGGGCTGCCTGGGGTAGAAGCAACCCACGTACCTGGGCAGGGTAGGCAGCCCGCGCCAGCCCCCCACCCTTGAGCTGGGACAAGGCCTTCCGGATTGTGTTCAGCTCCTGGATGTTGGCTCCACGGGCCGCCAGCAGTTTGGTGAGTGTCTGCTTTTCCTCCAGTGTGACGGGTGGGATAGGGGCTGGCAGCAAGGCTGAGCCCCCACCTGCAGAGACAGTGAAGAAGTTGGGCAGATGGGACAGAACTGCAAAGGAACCTCCCCACTCAGGGAAGCAGGCAGACAGTGCCCACATTAGGGAAGGGGATGCTGGAAAAGTGGGGTTAGGGTGCCCCCGTGTGGACATGCAGTGACTGTGTGTACAGTCACCACACCCTGGGCCCCTGAGGCTGTGCCCTGCCTTAGGGTAGCCTAGGTCCCAAACAGGCACTAAGAGAACTATTCCGTAAGAACTTGGAATAGGGGCTGCCCCTCATCCAGGAGGAGACAGTGAGACCAAGGAGGGGCTCCGTGGGAGCTAGAGACCTGGGTTCTAGCCCCAGATCACATTGGCAAGAGAGCAGCAACAGCACGGACATTTTCCCTGCAACACCCTGAGTTAGATGTTCCCTATGTACCCCCTCATGGTCACCCAACAGGGTCAGTCAGGGGAGGACCCCACAGCTCCGGGGAGGCCAGATACAATACCCAGGGCCACCTGGGGGTCAGCCATCCAGGTTCCTTACTGCCTCCCTTGCTCTTGTGACCCCAAGGGCTCAGACCAACCATCTCTCACAGACCTGGTATTTGGAACCACCACCACCATCCCCCAAACTGTCCTGAATGAGCCAATCTGGCACCCATACCTGAGATGAGCACAAGCAGTAGATCGTCAGCCGTGAGGCTTTCAGCCAGCTGCCGGATGGCCAGTGCGGCCCGGAGTGCATCACGGTCTGGGAGGTTGTCCTCTGCGCCCTCAAATACCTGGACACAGCTGTGTGGCTTCAGCAGCATCTCCCTGAAGAGACAGAACAGACAGCAAGAGATGGGGTGAGCTCCTCTCCTTCCACCTGATTTCCCAGCTGTACAGGTGAAGGATGCCAACTGGCACCCATCCTGGAGCTAATCTAGACCCAAAAGGAAAGGGATGCTGGTGAGGGAGGGAGGCCCGATGGGGCCTGAGTTTGGCTTAGCTTCCCCGCCCGATGGACAGTGGGCAGCAGCCCCCCAAGTCTCCTTACTGTTTGCCAGCATGCTCCATGGCAGCACGGATCCCCTTGGGAACGCTGATCACACCCTGCACGAGATGCTGGCCCAGTAGCTCCTCAGCTGCAGCTGCCATGCCCAGCACAGCCTTGCCAAAGCCCACCAGGTAGAGGTTTTGCCGCAGCTGAAAGCTCCGGTCCCGCACCTTCAGCTGCCCACCACCAGGATCCAAGGACAGTGCCCGGTGCAGCATGGGGCCTGGAAGCACGGCACCCACAGCGCTCTCAAACAGCTGCCGTGCCTGCTCCGCGAGGGCCATGCCACTGGCCAGCCGGACCACTGCGCCACCCAAGAGGAGTGGGCGCAAGGGGGCTCGGGCCAAGCAGGGCAGGACCTGCAGGACTGCAGCCATGCCCCACTGTTCTCAGCACCACCTGGCACCCATGGCTGCCTAGGGGGAAGAAAGCACCAGTAAGGCCGCTGCAAGACCAGAGTCACCCCCACCACCACCACCACAGCTACCTCTCTGAGGGCTTGGGGCCGCTGGACCCCACAGTGGCTGCTGCAATGGGCCATCTGCCAGTCCAAGACTTTCTGAGGCCCTCAGCTGCCTCATCTAACTCCAGTTCTCGGAGCCCAAGCCCGCCACCTACCATGTCCTTCTCTTCTGCAGGCTCTACTCTGGCCCTCTGGACACTCTGCCCCGGGTCCAAAGGTCCTGTTAGCCAAGCCCTCCCCTAGGCCACCCGCTTCGGCTGAGAGTTAATCATTCATAGAGGGAGCAATTCCTCTCATTGGGCTCCCGCCCCACCCCTTTTCCACCCCCTTCACTTCTAAGCCCTCGTCCAGGAGCAACACCCCTTTCTGGCACTCCTTCCTTGCCTGTTTACCACTTCTGTTGCCAAGAGGCTGCCGGCTGTCCCACCAACTGACCCTGAGCCCGATGACCTGTAGACTGCTCAATTTCATTAGCTCATGGATCTGGTCTGGGAAGCCTAGGTCTGTGTGGGGAGGCTGTAGGCTCACAGGAGCACTGACAGGCAGACCCAGAGCACATCCTCAGGACACACAGCCTGAGGAATCCCAGTGCTCAAGGCCAGTCCAGCAAAAGGTTTGGGTTCAAGCAAGAAATGGCAGCAAAGACTGGCTCATGATGGAACCTCAGATAAGTCCCTAGACACCACAATAAGGCCATATACCTTGGGGCCCACACTGCAGGACAAAAAAGGACACCCTTCCACCTACTTGGCTAGCTAGACCCACCTCTGCTAAGAACATGCCTTTCACTCTGACCTAACAAGACAAGTCTTGGGTCACACCACCCACAGGAGTGAGAGCCAAGTGTCTGGAACAGGAAAGGCCAGGCTTCCAGAACTGAGGCCAGTCATTTTCCCCACTGGGCAAGGTAAAGGCTAAAGTAGCCTCAGGGTGAAGGTCAGGAGGCTGTAAAGGAATTCAGGGACAATAAAGCCCCAAAAAGCTCATCTCTAAAAAAGGCATCTGCTTTAACAATGCCCACCATAAATGCTGCCAGCTGACTGCACAAGTATGCACAGAGCAGGGGAAGGAGGCTGGGATCAGGCTTCAGCTCTACCAAAGAGACAATTCCTTTTCTCTCACTGGACCTCACATACAAAATGAGAGGTGGGATGAGAAGATTAACACTTTCCCCTTGACATCCTTGGTCTCTCTGAAGCTGCCCACTGTTAACACAGAAAACCTGAGCCCCACTTTATCCCACACTCAAAAAACCTAACAATGTGTAGTCCTCAGCCACTTAGCCAGCATGGTTCTCAGCTTTCCCGTAAGACCAATGCTGCCTGACTCCAGCATTAAAAGGAACACAGAGAGTGCTGACATATGGACTCTGAAAAATGGGCTCAACTTTTGCCAGGAAGCCCCTGGGGATGGCCCATTAGGCTAGGAACCAAAAGCGGCTTAGAATCTAGCAATAGCCTGACAGCCTGCATGAACTTTGTACCTCTTTCCCAGATGGACACAGGCCTTGCCACAGTACACCAGAGCTCGGGGGAGGGAGGGGGAGAGGGGTGTTCAAGGCAAAGGTTGTCAGTTAAAACATAAGATGTATTGGAATTTCAAATAAATCAGATCTTTTCTTTCTTTCTTTTCTTTTCTTTTTTTTTCTTTTTTTTTTTTTTTTTTTTTTGAGAAAAAGAGAGAAAGAGAGAAAGAGCAGGGGAGGGGCAGAGAGATGGAGAATCCCAAGCTGGCTCTGCCCTATCAGCAGAGCCTGACCAGGGAGCTCAATCTCACCATCCTGAGATCATGACCTGAGCTGAAATCAAGAGTCCTACGCTTAACTGACGGAGTCACCCAGGTGCCCCTCAATTAGGGATTTTTAAAATACAAGTATGTTCCATACAATATTTGAGGCACACCTACACTAAAAAAAAATGTTACCTATCTGAAATTAAATTTTAACTGCACGTCCTGTATTTTTACTTGCTACTCTTTAGTTACACACCCTCTCTCCTAAAACTCCCAGGTACTCCAGAGATAAATCCGGAAACACCGAGAAGACCCTCCTTGACTCCTCCTCGCCACCAAGTGGGGCTGGAGCCACTTCCGGCCTTTTCCTGCCCGCACATGCTCCGGAAGTAATGTCATCCTCTACCGGCGCCTTAGACCTTTCCGAGGGAACTTCGCTGCCGCGTGATGTCCGGTAGTGACCCGAGAAATAATGGCCCGCCACCACCTGGACCCGCCACTGCCCGGCCCAAGGACTTCTTCCGTGGGCCCTCGCGCCGTGGACTTACCGCCCCACCGCTCTGGGTCGCGGCTTCCGGTGCCGGAGACCGGAAGTACTCGCGGGTAGGGCGGAGCGGAATTAGGAAGTGTGGGGTGAGAGGGGGCGGGGTTGGGGTGCTGCCGGCCGCACGCTGCTGTGGGAGGGGGGTGTGAGGTTTGTGCGAGTGGGAACTAAGGCGTTTCCTCCACTCGGACTTTTGGGAGGCTTGGGTGGAGCCACCTTCAGGCTGTATTGCTTTCATCTCTGCAACGGGGGCAAAAATCTCTGACTCACCCAATTGCCGTAAGCGTCCCCTCCTTTATCCCGTAGGATCCCATCAGTCAGCAAATACATTCCTTCCTCCTGTTAGGTGCCCGGCAATAGACTGAGCAAAGGGACTGAGAATTACGATTTCCCCACAATTCACCCTTTCTGGAGCCAGATTAAATCATCCCGGCTCCTCTCCACCTCTGTAATCCCACAACTCTTTTGTGTTCACCCCTCTCCTCCGTGGCCAACCAATTGCATGAACCTCGAGCACACAAGCTGCCTGTAAACATGAATGACCCTGGGTCTCCCTTACTCTCTCCATTCTCAGCCTGTGTCCACCCTTGAGCCTGACTTGATGCCTTCCCGCATTCAAAAGACAAGTCCTGACCAGACTCCAAAGACACAAAAGAGTTGTTTGTTTGTTTTTTTTTTTAACTGATATTCTCCTGGGGAGATGGGGGGAGGGAGTTACATCACAAATCACACAGCAGACTTTCTAAAAATCTTAAAACATATCCCCACCACCACCACCAGTTTCCTTTTGCAGCTGCCACATCTCTCCATAGGTCTCCAAACCATGCTCTGTTCTCATGAACTCCTCCTAACCCCTTCCCAGCTGTCTCCCTGGATTTTTCTTTCCAATTATAACAGAGGACCTTTTATTCCCTGTCACCCTCTCCCAAACTTCCCCTCTCCATCATCAAAACAAAGGCACCTTCAGGAGAATCTGCCCTCCTTAGATGTGGGGAGATTGTCAATACTTAAAATTTCAGTTTTTCCTTGCTGATAGTAAGTAGTCTTGGTTCAGCTTGCATTTATTCATTCCTCCAGCATTCAGCAGACATTCCCTGACTTTCTATGTAGGTCAAATGCTACAGCTACTGGGATGAGTAAGAAGTGGTACTTTGAGTTGAGAATTTTACTCTGCTTTCGTAATTGCAGACCCCCATTACTAGAAGGAATGTATATTTGAGCACCTCTCTCATTATTTAGTGCCAGAGACTCATGAACAAATACCATTTACCATGCCAATGCTGTTCTGTCAGACTGTAAGCAGGAAGACTAATTATACCCATGTTTTAAATCCTTCTCCCACCCCACTACTCACAAGATGTATTTAACAGCAAGGTTTAAATGCCCACTGGACTCTGAGTTCTTGGAAGGTGGTACTTGGTCTAATTTATATTTGCATCTCTACTGCCTTGCATAGGACCAGGCACTAATAAAAGCTGGAATTTCTATATTTTTTATCTCCCACCCCCACTTTCTTTCTTCCTTTCCTTATTTTTTTAACGAATTAACAAGAGGACAGTGAAGTAAGTACTCAGCTACAAAGTGCTGCAGACCCAAAGTAGAAAATATTTCACAAAAGGAAAAGAAATGGGGCGCCTGGGTGGCTCAGTCGGTTGGGCAGCTGATTTCGGCTCAGGTCATGATCTCACAGCTTGCTTCGGATTCTGTCTTCCTCTCCTTCTGCCCCTCCCCCACTTGCGCGCGCGCGCTCTCTCTCAAAAATAAACATTAAAAATTTTTTTTAATTAAAAAATATGACAGGCAACTTCAGTACGAGGAAATAACTGGTTGTGTAGACAAAGATGATGTAGGGAAGGAAAAAGACTTTGTCCTCTATTCTCTTAGTTTCGGTGGTTGAGGCCCTACGAACTAAATTGACAGAAGACAGATCAACAGAGGGAAAAGTTTATTTCATATGTATATGAGGGGACTCAGAGAAATGAAGTAAAAACCACAAAGAGGCCAATAGGCCTGAGAGCTTATATATATATACATATATATATATATGTATATATATATGTATATATATATATATATGTATATATATATGTATATATATATATATGTATATATATATATATGTATATATATATATACACATATATACCAGTTTAAACAAAAAGCAATAAATTTGAAAGATGTGACGAGACAAAAGGGGTTCAGACTTGTGCAGGTAATAAATTGTGGGAAAGTGTACATATATATATAATATATATATTATATATATATTATATATATGGAAGATATATATATTATATATATGGAACTAATAGAAGATAAGGATTGCTGTTAGTAAGATTTGTTTGTACAGATTCACCTTTGGCATTGGCTCTCCCTCTCCTGGTACAGGGAGGACTCTTTCTCATTGGAAATTTATATCCTGCTTTTATGTAGGAAGGAGGAGGGCAGGGAGCCTTTTCTGCATCTGTCCTGAAATTTCTTCAATTCAAAGTAATCCTTATGCCAAAGTGGCATATTTTGGGATGGCATATTCTGATCCCCTTTAAATGGACATGAGATATCCAGCCCAGAGTTGTTGTGAGTATAGAGCAATCTAAATATCCATTGAGAAGATAATTTATACAAATAAGTTATAGTACTTCTAAACAGGTATTTAAAATGGTATTCTAATATTAAGGCTTACATATGTGTTACTTTTTGCAATGCCATTCTATGTTTAAAAAAAACTGTTGAAAAGATAATTTACCGACTGGGTGGCTCAGTCGGTAGAGCATGTGACTTTTGATCTCGGGGTTGTGAGTTTAAGCCCCACATTAGGCATAGAGCTTACTTTAAAAAAAAGAAAAACAACCATTTTAGTCAAATATATAAGCCTTCTGCATTATTCGAGCAAGCTGAAGGAAAGAAGGCATGTACTGGGGTACATTACTTATACCCTATTGAGGGAGAATTTACTGAATTTATTCATCAGATTAAGCTTTAATTAAAAATTTTTTAAGTTTATTAGTCTTGAGAGAGAGAGGAGAG